TGGCACCTTACCTTTAAAAATGGGAAAGCTTAATAATATCAAATAATACTGCCCATAAGTTTCGTTCTTGTATGCAGACATCTGAAGGAAGTTCAATACCATCCTGTCCTGCAACTGTTTACAACATATTACAGTTATAACATTCGCTGATAATGTAAAAGTTATTGTCTCCTAAAACAAGAAATATACTAAAATAAGAATATAAAAAGTTAATTAAACACCGGAAGTTTCAGTTCCATAGCAAAGAGCAAAAAATATAAAATTTTCAAAAAAAAATCCAAATTTATTTTTCTCAAGCCATCCGAAATTCTTCATAGGAAATAAACTCTAGACACATTAGACTGCAGACAACGTTAAACTATTTCTTCAAAGCACATTTTTTAGCCTCAAAACTAGTGAAGCACTTAAATGATGATTACAGCCAGAAAAATATAACTGTCTCCAAATACCTTCGTGATATGCAAGGCGACAGAAATTTCTGGAAAACCGCCAAGCTCAAACAGCATTAATACTATGATTTATGATAATAGAAATGATTCACAAAACAAATGGAGTCTTCTTGTATATGTTTTTGATAAATATCTGGAATATCCTACACTTTGAAATGCTTGAGGTTTAAGAAAATGATTCAGTTTAGGAGAAACAACAAAGTTACAGGAGACCCACTTTCTTCCCCCCCCCCATAGTCACAGACTTTTTCTCACATTCAATGTATACTCTTCAAAACAATGATAGAAGAAAGCGTTACCTAAGTATCAAAAACAGGGTATCGTGCAGAAATGAGAGATGCATGTGTTTCTTACCGTCTAGGGTCTTTTTTCTCGTTTTCTTCATTGTCTTCTAAATCTAGTAAATTTATGCAAATCAACTTCGAATGCAAACCGTTGCATCTTGGCAGATATCATATAACTACCTTCCATAGTGAAAGCTAAATAGGCAATTGTGTTACAACTAACACAAGGAAATGAGCTTCAAGATAATCATTTAATGCATTAAATTATAAACATTCGGAAACATAATTTTTTAACATAATCCATAATTTTTAACATGATTTTTTTAACACATCCGGAAACATAATAAACATAACATTTTCGCCATTTTGGGTTATGAAATGCAGAATCAAGATCTAAGCTAAAAAAGTCAAATAACTAGTCTCCGTCATACCAGTAGCTTAAATAAGGAGGTGATTCTAAATTTGATATCAATTAAGGTACTACTTTGGTAGACGGTTGCACGGATTTTTGGCGATTTACGTTGGCGCAATTCTGGCGCGGTTTTTATAATCATCAGCCATCTTGAAAAACGCTGTTTTTACGCATAGTAAAGTATTCGAAACTTTAAAAAAAAAAAATAATAAATATCGTTAAAAGTATTGGTTTAATTTTTTGTTGAAAATGTCGTTTTTTAAGATGGCAGGTAAGTGTAAATAAATACATTTACTATGAGTATAAAATACTAAAGTAAGGTTATTATTACTTTCATATAGCAAAGAAGAGAATAAAAACACCGCTATAAAAACATTGTGCCAATGTTTAATTAGATTAAAATATTACTTAAATTGAATATCGAATTAAAAACCTTATACCAACATTTAAAAGAATTAAAATATTACTAACTTCAAATACTTTAAAATACGTTATAGAGAATATAATAAACATTAAAACATATGTGACAATAATTATCTCAGCAATTTTTGAAAATAGTGTATTAATTTTTTTAACAAAAATTAAAGTATACAATTATAAAGTAAAAGAAAAATATGTACTTACATTTTTTTAGTCACTTAACCTGTCATTTAATCGTTTATTGATAAGGACCACAAAAAAAATCGGAATCATAATTTAGATATCAATGAAAAAAATTTGAAAAATGTAATATCAAGGGCAGGAATAAAAAAAAATTAAAAATAAAAAAAAAAAAAAATTATAAATAGATAAAGCCAAATTAATGGATCATAAAGATTGAAAATAACAAAAAAAAAAAAAAAGACCCTCCAATAATAGGTATTGTTTTTAAGATTTCGAAGATCCTCTAACCGACCCCTCCCTGAAGTACAAAGGACAATTTTTTTATTCCGATACCAATAATTCTTGGTACTTGCCAATAACAACATTCTTTGAAAGAATTCGAAGATATGAATTAAATTTTAAAATGGCGCAGCAATGCACAAATTTTCAGTAACCAATCAGGGAGCTGATTACAGCTCGTTAATGCACAAATATTCTATACCAATCAGAGAGCTGATTACATCACGCTTAGAATTAAAATTATTTAAATAATCATACATAATAAAATCATTTAAAAAATGCAAAATTAAAATGTACTTTAATATTTAACAGCCATAAATAATGTTTAAAACATTAGATTAAATTTATAAATATTAAAACTAATTACTTTTAAAGTAAGGTGACGCCATTGATTACATCATCCACAATATAAAATTTTATAAAATATCATAAACAATAAAATTTTTATTTCAAATAAAAATGTAAAATTAAATTGATTTTGATATTTAGAAGCCATTAATAATATTTAAAACACGGAATTTATGCATAATAAAACGCATTATTTTTTAAATAAAATAACAACAAAGTATCGGTTACCATAAATAACTTATCCAGTAGTGGGTTTACCATAAGTCGTATTACTCACCAAAAGAAAATACACCAAAATATCGCCAAAATCCGTGCAACCGTCTACCAAACTAGCACCCAAATTAAATAAAGTTTTTGTTCATACAACAATAATATAATAAATCTACAAATAAATGTCCACATGATTAAATTAGACTTTCAGGCAGAACTGATAGCGATGAAGGAAATAGCATTGTGGCATAAAAATCGTGTCCACAAAAGTCTTCAGCCTGTCTCTATTTCCTAATTGTTAGTCGTAGATGAACACTTCCAAACATAAAAATATTTTAAATGACACAAATAACCAGGTTTTCACATTTTTAAACAAAAAGAGGATTAATTTTGCGTAAAATAAAAAATCTAATACTTTTATACTTTCGTCCTTTTCGTATATTTGTGTTTAGGAAATTTCGTGCTCATCATATAAAACACAAAACTTTTGACTCTCGTGCGACAAAAACTGACCTTTAATTTCAAAATTCGCGATATTTGACGTCATTTTAAACTTGTCTATTTGGGTCAGTTAATAAAAAATTAGAATAGTTTAAAGTTGATTCTTTTTCCCATTAAATGCCATTTAGTTGCATTGCTTTGTGATTTTCTAATGTTTTAGTAACTTATAAGTTTTACAATTCTAAAACTATGTTACCAATAGTCTCATGAAGTTTATTACTTTAGAATCGTAATTTGGAAATCATAAAAATTTCGTTCTAAAGTACAGATATTTTTCATTTAAAATTAATGCAAGCAATGTGCTTCGTGTTGGCTACATGCCAATACTGAAACTTGTGCTGTTCTGTAGAATACGAATTCTGTAAGATTTTATGCATAAAATTTTAAAGCAAATATTGATTAACAAATTATATTCAACAATAATCTTCATAGAAATGCTCTTAGGAAGTCAGTTAATATCAAGGAAGCCTTTTACTTAAAATTATTTTATTTTTAGTAACGTACGAATGCAAAAATTTCGCTCCTCAAGTTCTGTACAGCTCTTAAATATGATTCCCGATTTGAATACTGAATATCTCGGTCACATTTGGTTATACTTGTTTCGTTTCATTTTTTTATAAAAATTACAAAATTCTTCAAAATATAAGTGTATTGACCGAAGGAACATCTAAAAATTATATTTCGTAATTTTTGAAAAATTTAGTTCTTTAAATTTAAAAACACCAAATTATGAATCTTTGAGGTATTTAAATATTTTTCTAGCTGGAAAAATATGGATCTGATCAACGGTTGAAAAATTGAAAGTCGGGCGGGGACTTTAATGGATCCGACATATTTTGAATCTCGCAGATTAGAAAAGTTGTTAACTGACAAAACTCACTAACAAGATTTAGTATTAAATGCTATGTTAACGGTATTGGTTTACTTATTTATGGTTGAAAGTCACTTATTTCTAGATCAAACGGACTAGACGAAATTACTTTCGTTTTCATCAGAAACTGAGGAGCGAAAACTCAGAACATCCCATTGGGAAATAAAAGTGAGCGTGAAACCAGTTTCAACATGCGAAATTCAGAGTTGACGACACCGAGCAGAGTGGTAGTTTTGTCTAACTAATTCTATAGACACATGATGAATTAAAGACGATTTGTTTATGTCTCAAATTTCTATATAACCTTTTACGCAAATCTTTCCATTAGCTAAAATCTTATCAGTATTCTGTTACAGGCGTCATACATCTACGATACTGGGAAAGGGGTAAAAAATTAAGTTGACAGAAATGATGGTAATGCAGTAAAAACTCATGTTGTTTCCAAGTAATACAAAATATATTTTTAAATAACAGGTGAGGAGTTTATTGAAAGTTAATTAGTAATAAACTCTAAGATACTAACAAAATAAATGAACTGACCCTTCGATAACAGAGATTCGAATTTTGTTTTATAACGCACTCTTCGTCACTGTTAACAGGTTAGAATTCAATTCATAACAATGGTAGAATATTTGTTAAAAAAATAAATAATATTTTAGATTTCTGAAAAAAGTTGCTGTTATTAAGCTACTTTCAAATTTGGAAAAAAAAAAAAAAAAAAAAAAAAAAAAAAAAAAAAAAAAAGAACACTTGCGAACAATACATTCTACTTTTAAAATTAAAATTTGTTTAATAATAATAATTATTATTTTCTAGCAATTAATTTACGGAATTTTAAATTTTGCGCATTATAATTAGAAATTACTACTGTTTCCTCTTTTATACCTTTAACACTCAAGTTAATGGTTACATGACTTGCGAAAAAAAAATAATAAAGTAATGTTAATATATAGTTTCGCTATCAATGTCATTAATTATTGTTGCATAATTTACTCGTGAATTTTTAAGAGAATATTAATAAACAAACTCGGCAAAATAACCGCTGACCCGGACGTGATTTGAACACGCAACCTTCTGATCTGGAGTCAGACGCGCTACCGTTGCGCCACCAGGCCTCACGCAAATAGTTTGAAATAAAATTTAAAAGTGAATCAGCAAGTTTCCAAATTAAAAATATTCAAGAAGGTATAGAATTTTTTATTACGTAATTTAGCAACACATAAAAAAATTAAATGTTTTAAATCGAGGATTAAAATAATCTCCGCTATTTAGTAATCTCGGATATCTCTAATAATATATGAAATCTCTAATAATATATGAAAAACTCAGTAGAATTATTTTTGCTTATTTATTAATTTTTTTAATTTTATTTTGTTGCATCTCTCTCCCCTGTTTTCGTATTCGAAGTTATATTTGCATTCTGTGCCTCTTAACTTACACTACATTTTACTTAAAGAATTCATTTAGAAAAATTGAATTCAGCTTATAATTAGAATATCCTTCCATACTCCAATCGATTCAAGAACAAAAAAATATAATAATATTTATCATTGATGTAAGATTTATCTGTAACTTCTTGAATCCGCAATTATTCAAAATAAAATAAATAAATAATTCAATTTAGATTGTACTTTTACGTCAGAAACACAGATGGCAGCACTATATGCGGTAATTTAATGCATTCTATAAATTCTTGAAATTTAGATTCAAGATATAGTTTTCGAACAATTTTGAGACCAAAGAATTTAAAAATAATATTGACAGATGTCTTAATGCATATTGGCCTTATATTAACTTCTCCAATGGACTTTGTTACGTATGTCCATAAATACTCTCATTCATAGGTCACTTTATAAAATATTTATTATTTATCCAAATGCCTGATCTGGAAAGAAACCCATTTCCTTCACGTTTGATGGAATAAAAGAGAAAATTTTTGTTCACTAAATTAAAAAAAAACTGCTCATAGCTTTGAATCAGCTTCTGCATTATCACAGTACATGCAGAATGAACAAGTGTGTGGAATTGATAGGATAAATATTCCAATTACGGTTAACACAGTACATCTGAAATTTCAGATTATTGCATGAAAGCCATTTTCGTAGTAGTACTGAGTGATAGAATTTGTCATAATTATTTCACCAAAATACACATTTTGGATAAATGGTCAAAACATACATTTAAAAAAAAAAAAAAAAAAAAAAAAAAAAAAAAAAAAAAAGATTTTTGAAATAAAATATTATAAAGCTTGCAGTTCAAAGGTTGACTAACATACATAGAGATTTTAGAAATAAAGAGGCATATTTTTTGTATGTGGAAAAATAACGCATTTAGTTTTAAAGCAGCAGGTTAACATAAAAACTCCTTTTGTCTAAACAAACATGTAAACTGTATTTCAATGCATTCTAATATCACTCCAGCAGTATTCAAACTATGAATATGGTGTCCTGGAAACTTAAAGCCAATATGGTGTCCTGAAAACTAAAAGTCGCAAAGTGGATAAAAATTCTAAAAACTTTGAATTGATGGTTCTCAACTAAGAATCGGTAATGTATGACTGACTGGTAATGTAATATACGAGTGTGCTGCAACCCTCCTAGCCGATAACCGGTCTCATGTTTAACGCAGCACATCCAACACGCATTACAGCAAAAATACAGTTAAAAACATCAAACTGAAAAAATATTTTCAAACCAGTTTTCCTCTTGCCATTTATAAAATTCATCAAATCTATTGCAAATCTAAACTCTTTCTTGCCGGGATTAGAATTCCTTTACGTTACCATGTTTTTCCCTAACATATCGCTATAATACGCAGTCTTCGACGAAATGCCGTTCATTGCTTTCAGCACTACAAAAATTACGAAGACTATTGTTTTGCAAATTAAATCTTTTCATGTACGCCAGGTAGCGCCCGTGTCTCCTAATTATTTGATTGTAATGAAAATCACATATCATTCTTATATTTTTAGAAACTCCAGAGTTTAACAAATAATGTTTCCTTTTTTCCGGCAATGTTCCATTTCCAGCAATCATCATAGAAATCCTCGGTTTTACCAATAACAATTATTTTTTATGCCTGAATATCGAACACATCTCCAGCATTACGCATTTTAGCCACTTCTTTGGCCAGTATGTCGGCCCTCTCCTCCTATAACCTTCTGACTGGTGTCGCGAAATTGTTTTGGGGATTGTTTGCATTTTTATGCGATCGCACTATTATGAAGTTTGAATACCACTTCTCTAACCTGTAACCGTCTACTTTTAATATTTATTTAATACAAAGTAAGTGAAATAAAATATTCCGAAGAAATAATCTATACTCAGCCAAAAGATGGCAGCACAAAGCAAGATGTTAAAGCTCAACCATATTTAAAATTAATATTTGCAGAAGAGATTGAGAGCCAAAATTTTGCGTATCTTACTCGTTTCCCAAACACTCATTTTGCTACTTACGTACCGAATACGTAAATAATCTATTACGTTTAGCTTCTAGAAAAATTGCACGGATTCAGTTTGTGTTAATCATTAACCGATCAAGTCGAGCGGGAATTTTCGGGGATAACTGTGCTTAATATGAATACAGACAATTTGCCTTAACAATTTCATAAGATGGTGTACGTTCTATTAAGCATACAGCCCTCGATTGCTTTGATATAAAGAAATAAATACAATAAATAAATAAATAAAAATTTAGGAGTGGAGATTCCAGTTTGGGAATACTCCTATAAGGGAAAAAAAAAAAAAAAAAAAAAAAGCTTTAATCAATTATTTTCCAAGTTTAATGTTAACTGCTCTGAACGTATAAAATTTCATTTTATTTTATTCTGAAATAACTTTTAAGTTTTGGACTATGCTTGCATAGTGATTCTTACATTTTTCAAATACGTATAGAGCAGTGGATCTTAACCTGAGATACGTGCTCTGCGAATGTGAGAAAGTATTTCCAGGGGTGCGAGAGAAATTTCCAGGTTTTCACTCGAAACTACCACTTGGCCATCTGATAGCTAAAATATTCACAAAAAGATGAATAATATACATTAAAATATACATTAAAAGAAATCAATTAGAATAATGTTGCGAGGCAAGTTTCTAAATTTTTGATGGAAACTACGACTTGACCGCCCCTAAGAAAAGAGAGAACGCTAGTTATAACGAGTTTTGGAAATTTATAATAAAGAAAGGACATAGAAAAGTTTTCCGAGTATCTCCTAATTGATACCCTAAAGTAAGAATAAGAAGAAACATACAAATTTAAAAAGAAAGACATTTAAAATATTCACACACAGAAAAAAAAAAAAAAAAAAAAAGGATACGGAATGTGTCACTCTAAATCTAAACTGAACGAAACCGACGCAACTAGTTTAAACAAACAATTCGATTTTTCTGTCCTTCTTAGGCCGGAGCTTATGTCTGTTAGATTATCTGATTAGGCAGTCAAAAAATGTTAAAATGTAAAAAACCTAGCAGAATGAAAAGTAATACTAATGGAGATTTACTAAATAGAGATGGAATGTAACTATTAAATTAAATTATAAATGGGATTTTTAATTAAATTACAAGTGGAAGTATAAATTAAATTATAAATGGAAGTACTAATAAGAAGTTATGTCTTATTTATTTAGCGTGTATCTTATGTACTATAAGTCTCTAGAAGTCGAGAAGTCAGTAAAGTTAGGAGATGCCGCCATCTGTTGGTGGCTTTACTGTTCGTTCATCCTGAAGTAGGAAATAAAATTACTGAGTAGTTACTTGTGATACTAATAATAATAATATATAGTACAATTCTTGAAAAAAAATTTAGCTATAAATTAAATCGCATAAAAGAAAGAATATTATATTTACACTTCGCAGAATTTCTTCAGCTCAAGTGGACTCGATCTCATGTTATTCAGTCCTCCATAATCATTAAACGCTAGGTTGGTCCGCTCGGCTATCGAGCTTAGTACGCACACTGCGTACGAGCTCGTAATGGGCGCACAGAACTGATAAATGGGCACCATACTTCGTAATGGGCCCATTACTGCTCGTAATGGGCACACAGAACTGATAGCAGCTTGAAATTAATTTTTCTGAAATGGAGCACTTTGCAGTTAAGAACTCTGCGTACTCGCAGAGCTCTTCTCAGTATCACAGAGCACAACGAGTAGTAACATTTCAAACTACTAATAATCTTAAATACAACATAATGCACCGCGCATTCGATGAACGAAATTCGCGCTATCTCTCAATACTCCGAATTCAGCTCTGAACTGAAAACTGAGAGCTGAAACTCTTTCTGGTCTTACATAGTTTTCCCTCCGGCTGCTGAGAAATCTCAATTTAGTGAGCTAGCCATTTACGCCGATGATAGACAGACTTGCCCCTGTAATCTTGTTTTTAGGGAAACATTCACACTTTCTAAACAGTATTTAAAAGTAATGCAATATATAAGTAAAAAAGAAATCATCATTAAATAAAAATAATTAGGCATACTCGACTACCATTTAGTATTGTGATGGTGTGTGATCCTTTTGGGAGCTGCTCCTCTAAACAGTCATAATTTGCAATGTTTTTTTTATGATATTCTGAGTATAGTTTTCGAAACTCTTATAAAAGCTGTGAATTCTATTGAGTATTTCTGAATTGAGAATCTTGATATATAGATCGTTATGTGTCACGCGGGTGGCTAGAAGAAACTTTTCCGAGAAACCAGTTTGTCCATCGTATGCCATTGATGGGTTCCTAGTTGAAACACGTTTCTTTAAAAGTTGTGCATCACCCAGCTATGCGGGTCTTTTTGAAATCGAACTGAAAACTCCCGCTTGAAGCGCTGTCCGTCGTACGACTTCACCAAAGAACTAGTTTCGCATAAGTCGAAAGAACTAGTTTCCATCTAACATCATCTTAGAACTAGTTCCAAAAGAACTAGAACATCGCACCAAAGAACTAGTTTCGCATAAGATATCCCGAAAGTTCTTTAAGTAATGTTTATTTCGACGTGCTGTTGAAGGTAGCTTGTAAATGTAATGATGGTATTACAAATCACTGTGAATTAAGAATGATCCTTAGTACCTTGTTTTGCAGTCTTTAAAAGATTAACCTACCATATATTTCCGCTGATAAGATATATAATT